TTAATGATGCTTTTAATTATTGCAATGTCCAGTGAGGTCAAGAGTAGACTGACCTTAAGTCACTTTATCACCAGCTTGACAGGCAGTGTGGGAAGGTCACAGTCAGAGACATCCCTTGTTTAAAGAGTCCCATGTTCTACAGCATACATATGGGTCTTACAGTATGTACCCAACCCAACCTTTACTGATTATGTACTTTACATTTCTCTTTCTAGCTGTGCTTTAAAGGCTATCTGAAAAGTGGTGGCAAATGTGCGTCATGGTTTTTTCTCAATCATTAAGAAATCAATCACTGAACAGACCTAATATAAATACATATATCATATAGCAATAATACACTAGTTTCTGAGAACAAAGCCAAAACCTACAAAGGGCATTAAAGGTTTTAGCATTAATATAAACTCTGGCATCAGTTGCATCTATATTCTGGTAATTTATTTGTTTGTTACAGGATAAATGCATGAATGCATTCTTCTTTCTGTGGACCTTGTGATTAAGAGGCATCCTAAAATAATGTCTTCAGTTGGCTTGCACTGCATCAGCAGGCACTGTGGTTGATCTTAAATCACCCCGGGTACTCTGAGTGACTCCATGAGAAATGGACGCTCTTCCTGCTGAGTCCACAGTTTGCCTGATAGATTGTGCTGCTTCAGATGCTATTGAATTGGTCCTGATAGAGCATCTGAATGGTCCGAGGAATATTGTAAGCCAAAAGCTGTGGGGTGAGTGGTAAGTGACCTTGGCACTCAGTGCTCTTTATGATGGAGGATTTCTGCCCTGTGTTTTTTACTGCTGTCTCTGTGGCACTCTATCCTGCCACTCTGCTGTCATTTTCATTTCTTACGCATGACAAATTTCAGTGTGGATGAACTTCATCATTCTGATCCCTGATATAAACCAGAAGAACATCTTTTTATTTTAGAAAAGTGAAAAAAAAGGTGCTCGAATTCAAAGTGAATGCATTTTATACATTTATGCATTTTATACCAAGTAAACCAATGTAGTATTTAATTTGGTAACAGAAAACTCATAGTACAGCTGATGCAGCTATTGCAGACAGGAGCCCTTCTGGAGGTGCTGCTACTCTAATTCAACCATCACTTTCTTTAAAAAGCACAATGGAGAGTTACATTACATCCGCTTGACTGCTAGCTGGAAAGTTTGCATTCCACCAGTAATATCAGTCCAAGGTTAAGAAAGCACAACAGGGTGTTTACTGGACAACAGCATGATGACAGTCGTTACCTTGTGGCAAGCATGGTGGTTACAGAGGTCAGAATTTCAATTCGCTTAATAGCTATAAAGATTATTACTATGCCCTAACAAGACACACACCACCTTCTCATCATGTAGTCACTCTAAGGAGGATAATCACACCACCTTAAGTGTCAAAATATAACAGCTTAAAGTACACATTGAAAATCATAAAATAAATATGCTGTAGATTGTAATGGTCCCTGAGCATTTTTCCACAATGATACCACAGTGCTTCACCTTGTGTTCATGTAGAACAACTACAGCAGTACAATACAGCAGGCTGCTGATGTGTGTAATAGAGTTCTTGTGTGGCAAGTATTGAATTTTTAACCAGCCTGAAGCCAGCAAAGTACACTTCGGTCAAGCATGAAGATATATTACCTCAGCTAAAGTTTCTATCACAATAACATAACACAATAATACTATAATACACTGCTGTTCACAGGGTTGGGGTTGTTGTTTTCTTTTGAGACCCTTATCTAACCTTTGTCTGTGCTCTAATGAGATGCTTCCATGTTTCATGTTTGCCCTGAGGAGACTTTCGGGTTGGTTTAAGTGACCCTGTGGTGAATTCATATGGCACACTGTAGTAATCTTGGGGAGAAATTAGCCCTAAAATACCTAAACCCTAACCCCTGCATGTTAGAGGTGTCCTTTTTTTCTTGTTCACCCCTGCCCCATAGATAGTTTATATATGTTGCTGAATGTTAAACTTTATTCAGTTTATGTATGTAGACCCAAAGCATGCTTCATAACATTACAGCAGCAATGACCATCATCTCTGGAAGGTAAATACGTTGCAAAGATGCACTGCAATTCTTTCTAATGTTATTTCAGTGTGACTTAATTTCATTAGACCCTACCAGGGAATAAAGTGAAGCTTTCAAACAAATTTGCAATGTGATGAGAAACACAAACTAGTGCTGTTTACTGTAAATTGCAACAGATTTAAATATTGAACCATGGAAAATAAAAACCTGGCCACTTATTCAAGATATCTAGGAATGTTTAGGATAAAAAGAATGCAGCAGCATTTGGTGTTACCATGGACTAATAATAAAGCAGTAATAAATCTATAATAGGCACTTATAGTGTCAATAAATGATAACACAATGGAGCAACAATGGAGCAGTAATTGAGCTGTGGAAGGGCCCCAAACGTGCTTTAGTCCTCGACATACCCCATACCGGAGGTAGAACAAAGCACAACGTTTTTTACATTCTCCACGGTTTCCCATATATTAAATGGATTCTTGTATAAAAATATTTTACTGCAAAAGTGGTTTAATTAAGAGATACTGTGACGTATCACATGAATAATAATAAAAAGCAAAATAAAGCCAGGCTGAATGGGAGCTGTTAAACCTGAAGTCATGTAATGTCATAATGCTCTGGCTGATTTGGTGTGGAAGTGGGCAGGGGCTTCCTCTACATGTCAGAAAATAACTTGATGCATCGAGGACACACAGGAATACAAACACATAAGTACAATAGGTGGAAATACTAATTTACTTTAAGGTAGGCACATCAGTCAGGGTTTTTCTCAAAATGTATGAGTGTGCTGAATCCAGCAGTACATGACATGTGGTCTACATTAAGAAATGTGTAATGTGTGCCATCAAAATGAAACAACCATAAATGGCTTGTCTGTGCTCAACCTACCTACCACTTCTATATGGTAGAAATTGAATTTATTTAAAGTTTTCTATAAAAGGGAATAAATAAAGATTCTGTATGCAATAAATGAAGTTTTATAACTAGGTTCGGGAACAAAGACCACGCCCTGCACTCATCTAATTTCCGCTCAAACTTACTTAAGCACACCTTATCTGTTCACTCCCTCCTTGACTCATTTTCCACATCCCTCCCCCCAAACCCTTTCTTTTTCTTTCCCTCTCTTATCCAATTACAGGAACCACTGGGGTGGGCTCTCTAGAAGAGATACAAAGAGACAGCTCCCCCACTTAGAGTCTCACACAAACTCAGTTCCTTTTAACATCGCGCCGAACCCCTCCATCCATTCATCGATCAGCCAACAGACCTTCATTCCTCGACCTTCATTCATCGACCTTCATTCCTCCATCCCTCAACCCTCGACCCTATCTCCATCCCTCATCCCTTCATCCCTCAACCCTCGACCCTACCTCCATCCCTCAACCATAGACCCTATCTCCATCCCTCATCCCTGCATCCCTCAACCCTTGACCCCTACCCCTACCCCTCATCCCTTCATCCCTTCATCCCTCAACCACTTCCCCTCATCCCTCAGTATACCACTTCGGTTCACATTTGTTCATTATGTGCAATAAACTTTTCTTATTTCATACATTCGATGGCGTGGTCATTGTTAGTGAAATAATGTTTTGGACTGGAAACACAACACACTTTGCTTTGTTGTACCTCCAGTAGGAGTATCTCAAACTTTTTGGTGTCTTCCCACTTGCCTGACTTTCCTCTGCCTGTCTGATCTTCTCGTCATACTGTCTGCTGCTTTCATGGGATAGAACTGTTGCCATAGACAGTGAGCAGCAAATCCAGTCACCTCTGACTTCTTACTTCCAGATTATCATAACCTTAGTGACTGACTGATCAACTTCATCTCTCACCTTCACAGTAACTTTGCCATTTTAATTTCTGAACATTCAAACTATGAAGCTGCCAATGCAGCCTTGGTCTACTACTCCTGCAGCACTGTCCAGCTCCATCACAGAGGCTGTGGGGTTCAATGTCTCGCTGCACCTCCCCAGAAACGCATGAAGAATCAGAGAGGACAGTGGCAAAGTTCTCCAACTGGGATTTCTTTTGGAGAATTAGATTATGGTGAAAATAAATCACAAAACAGCAGAGGAGGCTGGATTATTGTGAGGAAACAAGTGTCGAAACACAAAATAATATGAATTTAATTTTTTTTATTATTATTTTTTAAAAAAAAAAGGTTACAATGGTTTAGTAGACAAGTGCCACGAAGATGGAGGTAGGCTACAGTTTTGAACGGGAACCCATCTCCCGATGATATTTCACTGTTGCATTATTAATCTACAAACTGATATAAGAGAACACAACATTGACAAAGATGTGCTTTGTCATTTTATATCCAGCTGATTTGCCGGTGTTTGCTCCTGGGGATCCTTCAGAGAGTGTTCTGATGAAATGTTGCATGTCTTTGTGGCAATGAGGAAGCTGAAAGTCTGCACAGGTACAATGATGATGCGGGGAACACGTTGATGGATAGGGACAGAGAGAGACAGAGAGAGAGAGAGAGAGAGAGAGAGAGAGACATAACATCTATCTTGCTCTATGGATGGGAGGAGGAGGAGCATCATAACACCGCCTGAAGGACGCAGAGCTGCGGCTCGGAACCGGGCTGAGAAACCAAATCCAGTCGGTACCGGTCTTGAGTGTAGCTGTAACATCCCGGATGTGGGGAAACAGCGTCCTGTAGTTCTACGTCGAGTATTAGAAGCCGTCATACATATAGCCTACATGCGTAGCCTACGTATTTAAATATGATGTAGCCGATACGCACTGGCTGGACAGGCGGTGAAGAGAGGTCGCTGACGGACTGTGCGTAATGCTGAGTGGACAGCAGTGTTTCTCGCTGTATATTCCAGCCTAGACGGGCTATTGACAAAGAGACTCGCACTTCTTCTGCAGTGCAGCTCGTCATTATAACCAGATGCTCTCCACCGGACCGGACCCGTTCAGTTTCATGCCGTCCAACCCGACCGGAGCCTGAGCCGAAGGATGCAGGTTAAAAACCAGATCTGCACAGAGCGGAGCAGCACCGACGACCCGGAGCAGGATGACAACCAGAAGAAGACCTCGTGCTTTTCCAACATTAAGATTTTCCTGGTGTCGGAATGTGCGCTCATGTTGGCACAGGGCACCGTGGGCGCCTATCTGGTGAGTTCCTACAGAACAGCGAGCACGGACACAGTGTTGGTCTGAATGAACGTCGCATGTCAGTGTATATGTCAGGTAACGTCGGGTTAACGCAGCGCCCTTCAAACCGGCGCAGGCAGACAGTGAGTAACAATGCGGTGCTTGAGCTGATGCGGTTAATAATCATATCATTCTGATCACATTAGAATAATCACATCCTCCAGCAACCATGGGACGCGGTGCTTTCACTGATTGATGACTTGCTGCGTATTATCCATCAGGCCTATGCACCATCTGCATGACATAAAGCGCGTCACAGCGGCCGTATAGGCTCCACGTTGTTGTGGGAGAATTTTATATGCGCATATGGATGGTCTGCTGGAGAGCAGGTTACGAAACGCTGGTCAGGAGCTCCATCCGACCTGCCGGCTCTGCTACATTCTGCACCCATACGCCTCAGTGATACAGGAGGCCTTTGACACTGGAGGATATAGGCCTAGGAGATGACGTGATCACCACAATACATGCGACAATAGCTAATATTGTCTTTTCAGAAGAGCTTCCTTTCATTTTTATTAATTTCCAGTGACAGTTTGATCCAAGTAATGTGCTGTTTTATACATTGTTAGATTAGATTGATGTCAACAGAAGAGATAAGCAGATCTATGCAGTGGATGAACAGATGGGTAAAATGAGTCTAGAGCCAAAAGAAAATAAAAACTGTACAATTAAAAAAAATGAAAGGCTCTTAGGCCCTATAACCAAAACATATTAAAAACCTCTGTACTGAAGATTTCGATATCGATTTTGAAGCAGTGTTAGTAATGGTAGCTGTTAATGTTGTATCCAACCACAGCAGTTGTTAATGTGTTTGTGTGTTGATGTCTACCTACATTAGTCAGCTGGCCCAACCACTAACTGTAAATCTATATAAGTATGAAAGATGCCACTTTAATCAGGGTTATTATTTGCCTAATTAAATTCTAATTCCCCTGATAGGTGTCAGCACAGTCTTGATACTATAAATAAAACGCAGGTTGGAGCTTAATTTTACTTTACCTGAGGGACATAACACTTTTTGATATACTACCATTTCAGTAAAGATAGAGAGAAACATCTCCATTCATACACAGTCCAAGAAGGAATTTTAAAAAGAGGCAAGGTCAGAGGTCTGTGGTGAAGCTTTTGCTTACTGGTTTAGATGACGAAAAGGTCTAAATTGTATGGAAGTGAACTGTGTAACAACGTGAGCTGATCGCCCATTTGCCAGTATAGATGTCGAGAAGGAGGCCTTGTTTAGAAAAAGATGCAAGAACTTGCCTCTCGTCTGGTGAAGACTGCAGCTTGGCAGAAACACGACTGAGTTGGGTTTAATGTGTTTTGCACCAGTCACAAATTTAAAGTGCATTAGTGTTTACCTTGAAGACTGCAATGTATCTTCCTCCTTTAAAGCAGCATCCCAAACCAAAAGTGCACCTTTAGCAAATCCTGCTGCAGACAAAAGCTCTGTAGAAGCACTGCCTATCCTCGCTTGTATAAAATATTGTTTGTCATCATCTTTTATTCTCTGTCTCTTTTTAATTCAGCTTTGCTTGGTTCACACTGTGCGTTTGTTCTCTCCTGTTTTTCCTGCAGCACATTGTATATTTTTTATAAATAAATTACAGTGAAGCTTTGGAAAAGGACAATGCTGTAATGACTGAAGATCATCACAGTCAGCACAGCAGCACCTGCATAACAGCTTTCCACATCTTAGTCTATATTCATCAAACTGAAATGTGCAGGTTTCCTCTTTTCTCTGTTGTCTACAGCTCTACAACAATTTGCATCGTCTAACATTGGAGTGGATTGGACTAAAACGTCTAAATCTGGAATATAAAAGGTGTAAAGCGGCTGTTCTCTATCGGCATCCAGTATGAGGCCATTCGTAAATCTTCTAGAGGCACAACAGTAAATCTTAACCCTGTCGTTTAGATTCTGTGACCTCTGAACTGTGTCCTCCCAGCTTATAATGTCAGGGAACCATGAATTACAACTTTACAACAATAGTAAATAAACAGTGGATACAATTTTGAGCTGGATCTTCAGTAAATGTAAAATAAATTTAATTGTCAGGCTGTCAACTGTAACGTCTTGTCTGTCAGTCCCACCATGTGTACTGCACGGTGACAGAACTAGATCACGTTTCCACAGGTGAAATAATAGACGTGTGACAGGCACCTTCCTATTTTAGAAGTGAATTACAGATTGGGGGGAGGATTGGGGCCGCCAGTTGTCTAGCTGTTTGGACCGTTGTCCAGACACCTCTGGTGGCGTTTCACCAAGGACAGGACCAGTACGGCATGACTGAGGGCATGGTACAGTTATTGCTTCTTTTTTTCAGCTGGGCCCTAACAGAAATGGTCCTCTTGTTCTACAGAGTAGTGAGCTTTCTGCTAGAACTGAAATGATTAGTCGATCAGTTCATTAATTGATTTCGATCAATTTTTTTATCAACTGTTTTGTTGATCAACTAATTGTTCAAGTAATTGTCCAGGCACTAATGCCAAACATTGCTTTGTTCTAACCTCAATTGTTTTTCATTGTTTTATGTGATAGTACATTGATTATCTTCGGGGCTGTTTCTGGACTGTTGGGAGTGAAACTAAAATCGTCATTGTGGGAAATTGTGAAATTTTAATAACTAACCATCAATAATTTGACAGATTAATAGATAATGAAAATAATAGCTAGTAAT